TATATATGTTACAGTTAAAACCCGATTTTAGTTAAAACCCGTTTTAACTAGTTAAAACTAGTTTTAACTGGATGCCTTTGTTAAAACTAGAATTTCCTAGTTATAACTAGAATTTACTGCCGTACATGTTTTGATTTTAGTTAAAACTAGTTTTAACTTTGAACATTAGTTAAAACTAGTTTTAGCTACATAAATATGTTTGAGGGAAATAAAGTGATAATTGGGATTAAAACATTTTTATTATTTAATACAATATTTATTAAAAATATTGGTCATACATCTGTGTTATTAACATTAATTAAAGTGATACGAAATTAATCATACACTATAAAAACATTTTTTGAAGAAAATCACAGAGCCATGTCGGCAATATTAATTAAAGTATTACAAAAATAATCAAACACTATAGGAACATTTTAAAGGAAAATCACAGAGCCATGTAGGCAATATTAAAACTATAACAACACCAGTAATATTAATTAAAGTCATACAAAAATAATCATTTAATAAAGGAACATAAATATAAAAATTAAGTTTACATTACTTGTTATTGCAAGGCAAACTATCATGGCATTTCGAGTTACACAAATTGCCTTTTTTTCTACAAAAGCACCTCTTCGACATACACGACTTCTTACACAAACAGCGAGCAAATCCTTGGCCTGTTCCTAAGGCTGCTCTCCTGGCAGCAGTTCTTAAAGATACATTTGTCTCTGGCACTTCTTCTAGTGGCAAGAAGTTTTCTTTGGACATGTCAAATTCTGACCTGAACAAGTACATTTAAGTTTTCAAATAGGTTAATACTTATTTTAAATTGATTCTTTAATTAATAATAATTATGGTTAATTGTGCCGAAAAAAGGAAAAATTTTTTTATAATAATTAGACCTCAAAATATTAATGAATTAACTGCATAGTTAGTAACATTAACTTAAACAGTGGCAAAATTGAACAATACATACCTGCAATACAATTTATCGAGTATTCCATATTTCGTTCCAATTTTGTGCAAACCCTGTTCATCCTTTTGAAGAATCACTCCGATAATATTACGAAGATCTGCTTTTGCTCTGTCGACATCAGGAATTGGTATAATTATATTATCACCGATTTCTACAGGAGCGTGTATTGAATCCGAAGCCAATTTCATTCTCTGGGCCTGTTTTTCCAAGTTTAGACTAAGCGAATTCAATTAAATAGGAAGTTTTAACAATATGGAAGGTTAAAACTATAAAAAGATTAGTTCTGTTTAACATAACAGCCAGGAAAGTTACTCAACTCTCGTTGCTACATTTATTTAATATTGAAAAACTCTTCTTCAAATTCTGTTGGTTATGCAATTAATTTAAATTCAAAAACTAGAAGTAATGTCATTTTATGAATAAAATATCAATATTTTATTGTCTTTTTCAGTTTAAAAGTAAAGATTTACTTCAAAATAAAGATTTTGACTGTTGATTTCTTTATTCTTTGTCCTTAATTGTAGTTTTATTCTTTTCTCCAGAGAAAGATGATAATGGCAGTCCTTTATATAATTTATATTTCTTTATATATATATATAAACATATATATGGTTACTAAATTCACAAGTAAAAATATTTGTCAAAATATTTGGTAACAAAATTGTTGTAAAGTGTTTTTTAATATAATTGAATACACAGTATTTCTTAGTAATACTGTATTTAAATGTGTATATGTGCATGTTTATATATGTAAAACATTCATAACATGGCCAAAAATGAAGTAAAAATGTTAATAATTTTTGTAATTTGTTTTTAAAGTTGAATGTACAGTAAATGATTGTTTGATGTAAGGAAAACATTGCTAGTCAGAATCATTGTGAATTAATTACAATATCATATCATATATATGCATATGTATTTGATTTTGTTATCCATTTGTTAAAAATATCTAGAATTGTCTGACCCCATTCTAGTTTCTAGTTGTTAGAAACAAATCATTTATCATTCTGTTTATGTAAAAACACCTTTTGACAGTTTATAATAAACAAAATAAAACAGATTTGTGTTTGTAATGAAATAACGTACATGTGTAATCATTACTTGATTGTTTGTTTGTATATGTGTACATTATTTGTTGTACATGTGTAATCATTATTTGATGATTACACATGTACAATACCTTAAATTTTAAAAATAGTATAAGATTGCTTTAAATATAACCTTATAAAAAGAAGCAGTTCATGTGAAGAAGATATATCATTTCTAAGAACATTAATGATTCATCATTTTAAAGAAAATTAAAGCAATAAATTTATCTTCAGAAAATACAGTAATTTCAAAATATTACTGTATTTTTTATATTATATTATTCGCTTAATATCTCAGGATGGGGTAAAGATTAAGAAACGAAATTCTGCATGGAGGTTTGTGTATAAGAAGGATTGATGCTATTAAATTTTGGTGGTGAAAGGTCGAGAGTGGGGAGATAGAAGGGTCATGTATCTCGAAAGGGTAGGACTTAATGAAAATATATTTTATTCTTTATTAACATTTAGACTCTTATAAATCTCACTTCTACCCTAAAAATGAAGCCTTTTGCCATTTTATAGTAATTAAAAATATAAAAAGTTTTTATAAGAATATCTGATAACAGATGAAGCCACCCACAATTTTATTGTTTTTACTTAATAAAGTTTTTTTTAATAAAAACTCATAACAGCCAGGAAAGTTACTCAACTCTCGTTGCTACATTTATTTAATATTGAAAAACTCTTCTTCAAATTCTGTTGGTTATGCAATTAATTTAAATTCAAAAACTAGAAGTAATGTCATTTTATGAATAAAATATCAATATTTTATTGTCTTTTTCAGTTTAAAAGTAAAGATTTACTTCAAAATAAAGATTTTGACTGTTGATTTCTTTATTCTTTGTCCTTAATTGTAGTTTTATTCTTTTCTCCAGAGAAAGATGATAATGGCAGTCCTTTATATAATTTATATTTCTTTATATATATATTGGATGTTACTGGTCACAAGAATATCTTTATCAGTTTTCATGGAACTTCAATTCTTATAGGAAAACAAGTTTTCGTAATATATATTTCTTTTCTCTATTTTTGCAAATAGTAGCAAGAAGATTTGATACAGATGTCATTCTTCCTACTTCCATAAACCTAATAGACGTGATAGAAAGAATGTCAAATTACAACACTTAATAAGGTAATAGTTTTTAAAATAATTTCCCTGTCTTTCATCAAGCCATCTAAGTCTGGCTGTCCCATGAGTATGGGTATGGAAAACAAAGGCCACCTTAGTGCCTCACAGAAGGGAACAGATAAAAATAAAATGTTTATAGTTTTGAATGCAAAAACTTACATCATCACTCGACTTATTATTTCCACTGGAACAGGAAAATAATAATATGTCTTACAAATATTCATTGTCACAGATTTTACCATTGCCGTCTATTTTATTACAGTAGTTCTCGTATGTTTAATAATAAATGATGAAAATCCTAATTTTTTAAATCAAATTCTTAATTAAATTAATATAACAGCATTTATTATATTGCCAGAAGGGCATTAAAAGATATAAAAAAAGAAAGAATTGTGTAAAATCTGTAAAGAATTTTTGACCATAGAATCAGAAAACATTACACCTAGCTTAAAAATGAACAGAATACTGTGATGGAGGTGGTTTAAATTATGTATCTGACATTATGTTTAAAGTTTGTGTTGCTACTGAAGAACTCATTCAGAAGCATAATCACAGGCTTCTGTTAAATATGAATACTATTAGTGACACTAATGAATTGCTTTCAGCAAATTCTAACATGTAATGTAAGCAAAAATTTAACTTTAACTTTATACAACTGCACGAGATGTTTCTTAATATAAGTTAATTTAAACAAAAAGTTAAATAAAAATGTTCCATGGGTTTTAGGAATAATCAAATTAGTTTAGAGCAGTGTTTTTCAACCTTCTTGAATACTCGACCCCTTTACAAGTTAAAAAATTCTGGCGATCCCCAGGGCCATATTTAAACTATATCAGTGATTTTAAAAACTACGTATTGAATTTTCTTTCTTTAAATATCGATCGAAAAACCAATTGTACTGTAAAATAAACAGGCACAGCCTTCTCACTGAAATTCATTTTTTTTATTGTAGTGTAGGACCTACAAACACTTGTCTTTTTCTTTCACCCCGCGACCCCCCGTGTAAGGCTTTGCGACCTCCCTGGGGGTCGCGACCCACAGGTTGAAAAACACTGGTTTAGAGTATTTTAAATTTACAAAGATACTTTAAATATACTTTTATTAGACGAACATACGAAATACATACATATATACATACATACATGCATACAATTCTAATAAATACATTATTATTAGAGTTCCTAATTATTGTTTTATCAATAACCAACAGATATGTCCGGCATTGCCCTTCCGAACTACCAGTATAATGTGTTAGAGATATTTATTGGGCTACAATTTGAAAAAATTGTAGACCTATAAATTCTCATTGTCATCCCTCTGTTCGTCTGTCTTTCCTTAATCTCGAGAACGGAGTTAGATAGGTGAAAGACGATATGTAAATCTTGGGGGCAAGAAGCTTCAGAAGTCACGTTATTTCGATTCAAATCTTCTCCTGAAAGGAGTTAGATAGATGACCGGCACGACTCCATTGATAACGGAAAAGTATGATTTACAGGGGCAAGACACTACAGAACTAATTTGAGGTGGAGAGCATAATATTTTAAATAAAATAAATAAAAAAATGTTATTAAAAATTACAGGTAACGATATCACAACAAATAATTACTCGTACGTTTTCTATTTACTGTTACTGACTTCATTTTTGTATGTAATATTATTTTGTACAATAAATTATAATTGGAATATTTTGTTTATTCCAATAATAATAATAAAGTTTTACAGTATTAGAGCGAATATAATAGACTACTGACTAAAAAATCCAAACATTTATAGTAATTATCTTGAAATTTTCAATACAGTATTTTGGGTGCTATATAGAGGGATAATCCTGCTTATTTCCGCTGAAGATAATTAGGTATTAAAAAAGGATAAAATATTTTGTGTTGAAAACAAGTTGAAAATTCTACTTGTACTGTACATAGATTGCCCTTCTATCTGAACAAAATCTAAATTTAACACTGTTTATATATATACTATACACATATCGTTTTAGAATTATAGTAATAATTGTTTGAAAGAGAAGTTTTTTCCTTGTAAGAGAACGATGCTTAAAAAACGTTGGGGACCCCTGATTTATATTAACACCATGTGAATGTTCATTGCATACACGAGTTTTTGAATTATTGCAAGTTTGATATTGCCTTTTACTTTCCCGGCTCTGTTATATTGGTTTGGTTTATTTGGCAACGCGACACATGGGCGATCTGCCTAGGGGGAGGGTGTTTTAATGGGAAACTGGCTCCTATTTAGGCGTTACTAACGTGAAGAAAACCAGAAAAACTTCAGATGACCAGCCCGTTGGTGAGGCGTGAACCCACAAACAACTACCAGTATTATGTGTTATAGATATTTAAATTAAAAATTATCTTAGTCCTTTGCTATTAATTAACAACAATTTTAGCCATACAGTGTGATCACAATTTAAGTTTTATTTTGAACTTCTATAAAATGAAAACTACTGAACCAAATGATTCCAAACCTGGAAATATTATAAAGGAGATCATGATATTTAATAAAGTGAAAAATAATTAGTTTAAAAAGTCACCACCAGTAGAAAATCAAGGTTTACAAATAACAGTCATGGTAGTACGTGTTCAATGTGCTGTCCGTCATTTCCTGCAACCAGGTTAAAGAGTAATATCGCGCTTTCCACAATAGCTCGATGCAAATCAGCGGGAATGTTATGAATATGCCGGCGAATGGCGTCTTTAAGTTCCGACAAATGCCTGATGTCGCGATAAACGGTGCTTTTGAGATAATCCCATAACCAAAAGTCACATGGGTTGAGATCTGGTAACCGAGTAGGCCACAAAACGAGAAAATGTCGACCAATAACCCTATCGTCCGTAAAATGTTGCCTAAGTAACCGTTTCACATATGTACCAATAGGAGATGTTCCAGGAGCAAGCATTATCAATCTGCATTCGTGCAAGGAACTGTAATGCAAAAGCGTCTCTTTCAGCAGGATCAG